TGCCTTATACAAGGAACCATCTACTCGTCTTGTCCCTTGTACTACCACTCGGTTCTTTATACTGAGTTGACATTTGGTTGCATAAGATTCAAACTTGCTGTTTTTTGAATTTTTATCTTGTGCGGCTAATATGGAATACAGGTTTCTACCTATATTTGGAACATACCAGACATCTGAGAGTTTTATATACTGTTGTTTGTTATTTACTGTTGACAGCATATTTATTTCGCCTCTACCCACAGCAGCAAGAACTTCTTTTCCTGCAGCTTGAACAGAATATGGTGCGACAAACTTCTCAAAAGTAACAAAATTATCTGGATTGTTCGTTAGGTGCTTTGTTGCTCCATTGTCAACATACCACTTAGTGTTGTCTCTCAGTGTTTGATTACTGGCTGACGTGCACAAAACTACATTTGATGTTTCATCATATGCTTTTCTTGGTGTCGCTGAAGCATTTTTGGAATTTTTAGAAGGTCTTACATCACTGACCCACTTTCTACATTGCTTAACCCAGTGTCCAGATTTATGGCAATAGTTGCAGTTACCAACTGGTTTTGTCCTTTTAGTGAAATCTCTTGATTTGTTGAAACTTGGCTTTTCAACATTTACAACTAAGGCGTTCTGCCTTGATGATTTATCGATTGTGTCGAAAGTCTTTATCTCTCTTTCGAAAGCACAGAGATGAGTGATTAAATCATCTATCGACTGCTTTTCTTCACCTAGCATTAGCCAACTTGATTTGAAGTTTTGGAAACTATTTGGGAGAATCTGCATCGCTATGCATACTAATAGCAGCTTTGGTAGTTTATTTTCTCCCAATACCTGAAGCCCACTGTTTAATTCGTTCCATAAAGTCTTCAATCTTGCAATTTGCCAGATACATCTACATCCGCTATCCAATTGAAATCGAAAAAATTGCTACAAACTTGGAACAGTTGGTCCTTAGTTGACGCTTCAAAATTTCTTTTTAATTTCTCCCAAACTTCAAACGCTGTGTTCTTGTCCACTATCTTTTGGTATGTATCTTCTGTGACTGCATTCGCAATTACTGATTTGGCATAACTGTTTGCCTTTCTAAACAGATCTAATTTATTTTTAAAATCTTTTGCTTGTTGCTCTGTTTGATTTTCTAGTAATTTTGGTTTCGACAACTTCCCATCAATCACATCAAGTGCGCCCTCATGGTAGTCCATGAAATCTCGAACACGACGTTTTCAAATAGGCCAATCGGCTGCGCAACTTAACTGTTTTATTTGAAGCTGAGTCCATTTTGAAGGGAAAAAAAAAATTGATGTTCTTGCTTCAACGATAGTTGGAAAAGTTCTTTTAGTCACGAATTGCAATCTCTTTCTTTTTTTGCATGCCCTTTTTTTTCAAAATAACTTTTTCTCTAAACAGTTTATTAAGCGTTCTGGGCTCATAACCTGTTTAAAATAAAAAACTTCTTGGCAAAATCCTAGGACAGTGCCTACAATGTAATTGAAAACACATTATAAATGCGGGAGATATGTATGAAAAAGAGTGCACATAAACAACGACCAATGAGTTAACTAAAAAAGGGAACGCAACACAGCTGTAAGTGAACGACCAATGAGATAACTAGAAAAGGGAACGCAACACAGCTGTAACTTAATGAATGAACGAAAATACGGAGCTATCGAAGTGTTGATGTCACGAATATAAAATATCAATTAATCGATTGCTGGCGGCAATATAAACTAGTATTTATATAAATTAAATTTTTGGACAAAAAGATTGTATAAATTTTATTCTCTTTTACCATTTCAAAATTTGTATTTTTTTACATTAAATAATATCAAACAAATGTACTAATAAAAATATTTATAAAAAATTGAAATTAAGAAAAAAGAAAAATTAAGGTATCATAGTCCCTAGCATATGTTGCATTTCTGTCTAACATGTACAATGATATTTCCAAAAGGCAACTTACCGAATTTTTCTCTCCACATAAATTCAGCTAAATATGTAGCCTTCAAGTCTTTGGATGTACCATACATATATTTAAATGTACGCTTCAATCTGGCCCACATCGATTCGATATTTTGTGTGTGCACCCGTGACTGGATCAACAAAATTTACACTGTGACTCACTGTGATGTGAGTATAACCCAAGTTGTTTAACTGACTACGCACGCCACTCATCAGAGACTATTGTTGTCCCAGGAGCAATCCATTTTTGAATGAGAGGGATTAGAGTTTGTGAGTCTCGTGCCTGTACCTCCTCTGCAAAACATATTCTTGTCCCTCGCTGTATTCCTCCAAACACCCATCCATCTTTATATCTGTTGTTTCTTCCCCTATAACATTTTGCCTTCAGAATTTTAGTTTTATCTATTTCTACAATTGTTCCGGGACCCCCAATCTGTACAAAATTATCAACACAACGGTCTATACAAACGTCCTGGCAAAAATTGTACCAGTCCACGACAGTATTTTTATTTACGCCAACCTCCCTTGTTGTCAAATATAGAGACATTTTCCATGCCCAACAATAAAGAATTTATTCCTCCAAACACCCATCCATCTTTATATCTGTTGTTTCTTCCCCTATAACATTTTGCCTTCAGAATTTTAGTTTTATCTATTTCTACAATTGTTCCGGGACCCCCAATCTGTACAAAATTATCAACACAACGGTCTATACAAACGTCCTGGCAAAAATTGTACCAGTCCACGACAGTATTTTTATTTACGCCAACCTCCCTTGTTGTCAAATATAGAGACATTTTCCATGCCCAACAATAAAGAATTTGTATCGTTTTTGACATCTCTAATTTACTATTTTTAAAAAATGAATCCTTTCGAATACTTGTCCTCATTTGACAATTTTCTTTTGGACATCGCCAAATGACTTGGTCAACTTTATTAACTAAATGAATAACCTCGTACATTTCTTCTCCGCAGTTTTCGCAAAACATTTCCCAATGCAACAGTCCATTAAACCTTAACCACTGCCTAGTTATTCTACGATTTCTAGTGAGACGATATAGCTTGTTAAAATTTAAACGATTTAATATTATTGCCTGATTCATTTTACAATAAATAGTCTTTTTCAAAAAAGGAACTACGACGCGCGAAAAAAGATGTTTCATTTTGGGCATATTCGAACAGCTATGGCATGCGTAAATCATAACCACTTCAAAATAATAAAAATTGTTTCTGCGGCATTTTTACTAGATTAATGAAAAAAATGTACTAATAACAAATCAGCATTGTCCTAGAATTTTGCCAAAATTTTATTTGTTAGTTATTTGGTATTTTCATTATTCCATTTCATTTAAATTTTTAATTATTTGATGATATAAATGGCCAATAAGATTTTTTTCCATTTTTACTATTTTAATAAAAATCATTTATTTCATTTTATTATTTTAATATAAATAATTTAAAATAATAAAATTTGACAGTTCCGTATTTTTTAAAATTTCTTACATTATGTTTCGACATTGTGCTCACAATCTCATTGGTCGTTGTTTATGTGCACTCTTTTTATACATATCTCCCGCATTTATAATGTGTTTTCAATTGCATGGTAGGCACTGTCCTAGGATTTTGCCATCTTCTTTGTTTGTTTTTAATATAATTGTTTATTAAAGAAACGTTAATTGAAATATTAGAAGACACGTTAGTCGACAAAAAGCGAAAAGCATACACGTACAAGTTAGTCAAGTTAGCAATGATATAAGATTGTCTGAAAACTATGGAAAGTCATAAATATATTGAAACATATATAATATACATATATATTATTTCAATATCTGTAAGCTCCTCTACAGTGATGTCTGGAATCGGACCTTGGATGGGTGGAGCGTCAAAGTTAACATTGATGGGATTTGTTTCGTTTAACAGACGATTGAAGTATTCTCTCCACTTTAGCTTGATCTCATCTTGTTCAAGAACCATCTCATTTTTGTCGTTTTTGATACATGAGGCAACAACTATGTCTTTTTTCGTGCGCTTTCCTTGTTTTGCTATACGATACAGAGATTTCATTTGTTCACCTTTGCTTTTAGTGAGCCAGTGCAACTTGACCTCTTGCATAGTTGTTCTTCCCACGGAACATTTTATGGTCATCTACAGACTTTGATTTTTGCCATTGCTTGTATGCAACTTTCTTTTCAGCTATTGCATTTTGTACACTGTCATTCCACCACCAAGTGTCACGTTCATGCTAACTTTTTGTACCAGTTTTCCCACAAACTGTAGTTGCAGCGTTTATCAAAACTGTTTTGTATGTACTCCAATCTGTACTGGCTTGCGATTGGTGATCTAACTGTGTGGCGACAATCTGTTGAAATTTTTCTCGATGAATATTGCTTTTCAGCTTCCACGTTTTGATTCTCCGAGGCATTTGTTTAGACATGTTTTGACAGTTTGACAACCAGGTTTGCCACAAGGAGTCTATGTTGGGCGACACATGATTCGCCAAGTATAACTTTGACGTTTTTGAACAGCCTTTGGTGTGGTTGCTTGACAGCGAAGAAATCAATTTGTGTGGCTGATGGTCCACTTTTGTATGTTATAAGATGTTCCAACCTCTTTCTAAAATATGTGTTCAGTAAACAAAACCCGTGACTTTCAGCAAACTCAAGGATGCGGTTGCCATCTTCATTCCGTTTTCCATAGCCAAAACCGCCATGTACGTTGTCAAAACCATCTGTTTTCTCTCCAACGTGACCATTGAGATCGCCTCCAATCAGGATTTTTTCAGATTTTGGTATTGTTGAGATGGTGTCAGAGAATGCAGTCCAGAAGTCATTTTTTATCTCTTCTGATTCGCCTGTCTGTGGTGCGTATGCAGAAAAAATAATCATTGTTTGCTTTTCTATGCGAAGCTTGATCCACATGAGACGTGAATTAATTCTTTTAATATCCAGTACTTCTTGGGCTAGCGGTTCTCTGACAAAAATTCCAACACCATTTTTGGCCGTCTTTTGACCATTCCAGAATTGTTTATATTTTTCTTTGTCTGAGTTGACATGACAGACACCATTCGATTACCATCGGGTTTCCTGAAGGCAGCAGATGTCAATCCTTCTACGCTCGAGCATTTCTGCGATTTCCATGCTGCGGCCAGTCAGCAATAAAAATAAATACTAATTCTCCATATGTGTTCTGTTAGCTATCTACTATGTTTTATTTTTGGAAATAAAGGAAATACAGCCAAAATTGTAGACTAAAAAAAATCATAATATTTATTTTATTAAGAAACAGGAAAATTTTTACGGTTTCGTAGACTCGTTTGCTTGGCTTACATGTTATAAATAAATAAGATTGTCTCTCTGTTCTAACAATTTGTAATTATTCAAACAGAAATGTTTTCTTCAATAATTTCTCGAAACAATTAACTTCTTAACACTCGGAAATACCGTCTGTTCAATTTTAGTGTCTTTTTATTAATTGCTCGGCTGCTTAGCTTATGCATTTGAGAATGAATTGAAATTAACAATGAATAGGATTTTTTTGACGAACTCTAGGACACATGGCACCGTAATAAGTCCTCAAATTAAACGAATAAAATATATTGAACTAATTTCTAATAATTAAATTTTTACCAATATTAATACAACATTTGTGAATACATTTTTATCAATATTAATACAACATTTGTGAATGCATTTTGGGTGTGCTTAGACAATTAATATTTTTCAATAAATTACTGTCAAGGCAATTTGAAAATCATGAAGCAACTGTTAAGTAAATATACACCTTAATCAAGGAAGCGATATATACATAAAAATTTGATACATTATGATAACATTTTAACCGTCCAATTATTTCTTGAGTATCCCAAATTTTGCACGTATATGTAAATAGAAAAATGATTCACGTAATCTGTTTCTTATACGTACTGTACATTTATCTCGTAGACATTTTAGAACTCCATAAATGTGTCGCATCTATGGGGTGCTGCGTTATGTTGATATATGACATCACGATTAATTGCTTGATTTGTTTCTTTTGACTTTATCGGACACATACAATTAATTTAAATTTGTCATTTGTCCAATAAAAAAGAATGATCAGATGATAAGAAAAAACAAAAGACTGGTGAAATGGATAACATAAATGGGCCAATAGGTGTAGGAATTCTTTCACAAATGTCGTTAAATTTAGTTATGTGTCTCAGAGCATTTTATAAAAATAAGTTTCGTTCAACATCGTTATTTGTTTGAGATTACGTACTAACAGTGGAAAAGTGTGTTGGTTTACGCAAATTTTTTACTTTTGTGACCGTTTGTTTTGTTAAAATCATTAGATTTGTCATTTACGCAACAATACTGACAATAAATCTTTTTGAAAATAAACAATGAACACTGAAACTTTTAAAGAATTTCACACGAACAATTTTCAACATAAAGTTGCAATATTTGCCAAATCTGGCAAGGCGCCCATTGCGTTTCACCTTTCAGTCTATACGACGATTCTTTCTAGTATTACCTATTACACAAGCAACGTTCTTTCAACTATTTGAGATTTGCGAACTTGTTTTTTGCTGTTATTATTAACGCTTTGTCATTGTTTCTATTACTGTTGATAATATTATTAATGTTATTATTAGTAATATGTTATATTGATTTGTTAGTGACAATAGCAAAATCGATACCAAAAATGTGGCATTTTTATGCTCTAATATTACTCAAGTCAAAATACATGATATACCTTTTTTGCAATTGATAAGCTTCGTTTACTGTATGTTCCCTGCTAACTTTTTAAATAAATTTTCTGAAAAATTAGAACAGAACCAAGTGAAAAAAAGTTCGAAAGTAGAATAGAACAGTTAACTTTTCAAAAAGCTTTTACATAGAACTTTTTTCGTAACTGGCTTGTTTTTCCTTTTAATGTAATTTACTTGTAATCCGAGTTTTTTGCTTTCCACTAATCATATATAGGTAGGTACTCTGTTAAATCTTTAAATCTTTAGTTCATCAATATATATGTAGGCTTCTAATTTCGCTACTAGTCTGCTCACCATTGTCCCTTATTTTATCTTATATATCTTTACATCAGTCTCTATATTTGTTACTGCTATGTATCAGCAGGAACACTATGTCATAATTTTATTTAAGTTAGCCTGCTTTCTACGTTTTGAAATCCAACATGTTTATTTCCTATATGTATTTTAACAAACGGTATTGACAACAAATAATAGTGTCTCTAGGAACATGATCGAGTTTTCTTGTCTTAAGATAGTAGTAACAAAATTTGTCGTTATACTTTTCAATCTTCATGTTGGAAATTTTAAAAATAATTAGATTTGACATGATTTTTTATAATGAATTGTAAAAATTACATTTCGTAGCTAACAATTGGTCTCTGGAAAAAATTGACTTTAGCTGGAATTCCTTCACCGAAAACCAGGCATTGTTTTTGATCCATGGAATAAAAGTTAATAAAAATTGATAACATTAATTTATTTTGGATTAAAACTTAATTATTAACACAAAATAGGACAACCAATTTCTAACTTGGGTCGATTTATCCCACAACAACATAGGAGAAAAAGGTTGCACAGCCGTAGGAAAATGTTTATCGACAAACCATGTTTTACAATATTTAGATATTTCTAGTAACTTTATAACCGCTAAAGGAGCTGAATTAATTTCCAACGGGCTCAAAAAGAATGATGTACTTTTCACTTTCAAAGTAAATTTTGCGTGCAAATATCTGTGACTTTTACTAAGTAATAAATTAATGTAAAATGAATTTTCATGCTGAGGTTTAGTATCATTTATTGTTTTCTATAATGCAGCTCTAAATCATAAGCATCCTACGCATTAGTTCTTTTTTTTAATTTTTCCGTTTATCTCCACACTATACACCACACAACATTTGAACGTACGCCTATGCACTGGATCGTTACTTATACAATATGACTTCGAATGAATGAAAAGCAACGTTCACATTATTATTATTATTGTTGTTGTTATTATTATTATTACTATTATTATTATTATTATTATTATCATGTATGTACTGCATGAGAGTTGGCCGTTTTCGTACAGCTCTCTGTTTTTTATACGTAATACTAGTTTTTAATTGTTCAATTAGTTTTAAAATTGGTTGTTTGAAAAGGAATAATTTTGCAGATGATGGTGAGAGTTTTAAAATTTAGAATTTATTATGCTTTTTATTTAATCTTAATTTTTTTAATTAACGGGATTTATTGTATAAACTCCAATAAATGTCCGCATTGTGATAGAATATTCATAAACGTAGGCAGACATTCCTGGCGCTGCACTAAGAATGCTGGATATTTCAATACTAATTTTGTTCGCACAAGTGTAAATTCTAATGCTAATATTTCGTCACACATTTATAACGCAAATTATGTTGACAATCATTCTATTAATTTGAATAATAATAATTCAATATCATGTTGTTGTGGTAAAATGTGCAAGGGCCGTAAGGGTCTAATTATGCACCAACGTTAGTGCAAAATGCACAAATCGCTTCGACTACCACAAAACTCAACTGATAACAACATGGATAGCACACTAGCATCGCCAGAAGAATTAACTTCAACTCCAAACCACGACTTATCTTCGTCATCGTCGTCAGCGCAAGCGGTTGTAGCAACGGAATCAGCTATCCCGGCGTCAAATTACCGAGAACGCCAGCCTAATGGCTTCACTCATCAACAATAGACTATACAATTTTCTAGAGTCAAACCACATTATTAACAAAAAAAATACAAAAACAAAAAAAAAAAAATGTTGTTTTTGCGTTAAGTGCACAGAAGCTTATTGATGTAAACCGGGCTTGGTGCAATGCAACCGACATGAAACTAAGAATTGACAAATGTTCAACATTCGGTATGAGGAAAAAAACGGTTCTTACGAGCAATTTCTTCTGATGCTGACCATCGATGAAAAACCAATTCCTCAGGGCAGGGTCTACGATTTTGAAGACAACAACAGCAAGGCTAAAAAACAGCTGGTTGGAAAGTTGAAAAATCTGTTGTTAGTGATAAACAATCTCGACACTACTGTAAACTGGAAAATACAAATTCTACGTAGATATGTACCGTTGCGATTGGCATTTGAGTTGCGGACATACAACATTTTCTTGACCTGGATAAGCAACTGCCTTGACTCTCTCATTGTTGAGTCGGTGAGATCATGGCTATCGCTGCCAATCAGCAGCTGTGTGGCGGAATGCCTGTCCCTCCCCTACAAAATGGGAGGCTTGAACATTAGGTCTCTTAAACACTATGCCGAATCTTTGCGGATCAAATTACGCAATTATTTAAAAGCACATTGCAATGATGAACTGAAGTGTTTGTGGTCCGAATCGTTCAGCAACTATATTGCGATTGACAACCAACTCCCTGATTCGAGCGATATCAAACCGACGCTCAATGCGACAATGCTTCGACAACAAAGTGCAGAGTTTGCACGACTGACCTCACTCCGTTGTTAGGGTACAATAGTCAAAGCAATCAGCAATGAAATTCCTGCGGTTCGAATTGCTCACTGGTCACGTTACATTATGAGCCTTCCAAAGGTTCTGTTCAGATTTGTCCGGAAAGGTTTAATTCAACAGCTGCCGACAAATGCCAACCTGTACAGATGGAGAAAGTCCTCCACTGCCCAGTGCTCATTATACAAAAATATTCAAACCAATAAACATGTATTATCCAACTACAGCTCAGCATCGGCATTGAGTAGATACACAACAAGACACAACAAAATTTTAGCAATAATCCTCGACAAGTTAAAATCATGTGCCAACCGAGACGTCACCATTTTTGCTGATCTTGAGACAGGTGATTTTCAACCACCATCACCAATATTTATCCAAGACATTGCGACCAGATATCGCATTGCTACCCGGCGAAACGTTAGAAATCCTGGAGTTGACAGTCTACCATGAGAATAACTTCTTCAACTCTAAAAACTACAAACAATCGAAATACTCTAATAGCTTGAAAAATAACTTAAACGACGACTTAATACTTTTAAAAATAACACTAAATACATTTGAAATATCTACTTTAGGTCTCTTTAAAACATTTAATCTTCCATTAATTTAATATTATTCGGACTGATTATTTTTTGCAGTAACCTTATAAAATCTGCCATATCATCGTCATACGCTATCTATTGCGACAGAAATGTGAAACGAATCAATTTTAAAACTAATTAACTCTGGTCGTACTCTCTCGATTCGAATGATGAGCTTCTCAGATTTATACTCTATTTATTGCATTTGACACTTTATTTTATTTCATTATTTTATTTTATTTGTACTGTCATTTTTATTGTTTTTTATTGCTGAATAAAAGATCGTTCCCATTAGTAGTAGTAGTAGTATTAGTAGTGGTAGTAGTAGTAGTAGTAGTAGTAGTAGTAGTAGTAATAGTAGTAGTAGTAGTAATAGTAGTAGTTTTAGTAGTAGCAATATCAGTTTAATTTTTTTTGGCAATTTAATTTCGATATTTTACTAATAATTTTATTAAAATTGTTCTATAACTAAATTTGAAAAATTAAGAACTAACAAAATATATTGATTTTAATAGTATTTTATACAAAATAAATGCTAGAAATAAATTAGTAAATTAATTAAACTAATAGCAATTTATAGTTACTTGTGTTAATACCGTTATGCGATATATTTTCATCAATGATTTATAGTGATCCGTCTAATTTTTTACTTTCAGATCTCACAAAATCCCCTAACTGACGTTGGGGCTTATCTGCTACTTTTAGCCTGTAGCAATGAAAAATGCGCCGTTCAATATTTGGATCTAGAAGTATTTGTTATTTTCAGCACAATTTAAATATAACAATTTTGTTGCAATGAAATTTTTAGTTGATAAAGAAAGCTTTTTAGGGGTTCCTTATTTTAATTTTAGCCAGTCAGCAGTGGCGAATTTACGCACAGGCGCAACAGACGCTGGCCTGTGGCGGCAAATTTTAAAACCATTGATTTAAAAATCTTCAAGTTAAATAAAAATTATTTTTGAATTTTTTATTTTATTCAAAAATAATGATTTTAATTCAAGTTAATTTAAACTCATGAAAAAGCGAAAAAAATTGTCATTCGTTCTAATAAACCGATCAGCCAATCATTCAACAAGATGCACCGATGGACCCATTTTCTTTTTATAAATCGCCATCTTTTTATGTCGACGCCATATTTGTAGTTTCAAATATGATAGTGAAAATGAGTGATGGTAGAAAAAGATTAAATGGTAGTCAATATGCAAAGTTGCGAAAGGATAAAAAATTTAAAAGAACAGGTTTAGACAGCACGAAGAAAATCAATGAGGTTTTTCAGCTGGCGGTCAGTGCTAGTCAATTAGAAAAAAAAATTATTGAAAATAAAAAGTTGATACGTTTTTCATTACCACAAGATATTTCTTTGAAAGGTTTATTTCTAAAAACTTATTTGGCCAAAGTTCCATTTACAAATATTGCTGTCTACTGATATTATTTCTCCTGTTTTGCACGTGATCCTATAACTAGAGACATCATTAGCGATTGAAGAACCTAAAACAAAGACAGGCGCAAAAGTGTCAGATGATGATGGGTTAGTTTGCGTTTTTCCAAATTTGGATAAGAACTTTTCTGATGAATTTTCCCTGAAATGTTGAGCAATATTTTCGTTTATCCGATGACCCTGCTTTATGGCAAGTAAATAATGATACGCGCGATTACGAGAAAAAGATCGTGCTTTCTAGATATGTTTGACAACATTCACTATTTCTATTGAAACATAAACCTTTGTTTGTTGCTTTAAATTCATTGTGGTTATTTTGTATTAGTACGTCTAGGAATGGTAGTTTATTGTCAGTTGTATTTTCAATTATAAACTTAAATTTTGATGAATTTAGTCGTTGACTAGTAACAGGAGTTGTATTGTTGATAGTAGATTGAGTGTTCAACCCACAACCTGCTGACATCAAGGTCCGTCCAGGTAATGGTGACGCCGGCAAGACCCCCATTTGTATGTCTACATGTCATTCGTAATCGAACGACATCATAGAAGAATGAATGAGGGCGCATGTGCATCAAGTGTATCTATCCTCTAGGTTGGGGTGGCCGATCTTTTGTTGCCATGCACCAAATTATTTTCAGATCCTTCTTAAACGCAATACATAAGATATCATAACAAAATTAAATTGAGCTCGGTTTGAAAAACGTTACCAAAATTTATATAAACATAAAAATAGCGCATGAAGTTTATAAGAGGATCTAAGATTGAATAAATGATCTGATGTACATAAGAATAGATAATTAAAAGATACAAGTTGGAAATTGAGTAATTTTTGATTTTTAATAGGTATGTCAAATGATTTATTATTGTTTTCAAATTATTATTTTTATTGGCAACAAACTTGCATTTTCTCTAAGATTTGATGCGCCACTTGTGATCGTGTAGCGCCACAGGTTGGCCATCCCTGCCCACGGTTACGTTCATTCATATCTTCGAGAACGAAATACGTTAGAAATTTCAGAAGCCGACGAATCTCATCAAGGAACGCATTCGTAGCTGATCCCGGTAATATTTTGTCAAAGAGTTCGGTGAAATTCTATCTATCTCACGGAAATTCAAAATTTCATGTCTAAATGGTCAATTTCAGAAAATTTTTTAAAATAACTACATAACCACCAGGCAGACCAATTTTGATTGTTTTCGATAAACCTGGGGCAGTGTCTTTCTTGCGT